CAGTGCGCGCACTTAACCACCAAGCCACAGGGCCGGCCCCAGGCATCTTTTCTTCTCTATAGATTACCTTCCAGAGGAGTGGAGGGGGGAGATTCCGCAATGCTGAACTGACTTTGTTACCTGTGGGAACCAAAATCTGGCCGAGAAGTAACACAATTTCCTTTTAAAAGTCGAAATAGAAAGGGAGATACACACGCACATATATATGTTCAAGATGTTGACTCAATCTGCTTGAGCCAAGATTTTTCACTGTGAGTCACAGAAGATGATAAGAATGAACTCTTTCGATGCTGAACTGCTGCCATTTCACAGCCTGTGGCCTTTCCCGATGGTAGGTGATTACAGTGGGAGAACAAGGGTGGACTTGGAGACTGGCTCACTTGGTGTGAGTCACAAGTTTGTCACTCACGGGCTGTGTGCACTCAAACAAGTCACCTGGCTGCACTGACCTTGGGGCTAGCAGGACTACTGGAAAAACGGCTACGTGCCAGGGACACAAACTGAAATGGCTATGGGACCAGGGAGGACATGTAAACGAGCGAAGTGGGCTACGTGTAAAAGTAATACTGATAAAAATAACAGTAACAAGAAGCAGTGGGAGTGACATGGAGTGGAGAGAGCCCGCCCACCCAGAGGGAGCACTGTGGCTCAGGTCCACTGGCTTCTGCCACACGAGCTTGTGCACCCAGCGCTCCAAGTCTTCTGATTTTAAAAGAGAAGCCAGAAATGCAAGTTTATTATGTAAGAATCTCCTGAGTCTTCATTATTGGCTTAAAATTTTTAAAGCACACTAAACAAAACACCAGATTCCCAGCCTACCAAATCCACCTGTTGAGGGATAAGCACTCGATCTTTTTAAAGTATTCCATTTACGCCATCTTCCAAGAAGTCCACACGTTCCTACTAGCTTTGTTTTTCTAAAACTGGGGTTTGAAAACATTTTCTCAAAATCCCAGAAGAGAGGAGAAAGTTTGAGTGATTTTAAAATTGGGAAATTAAACTACATCAGGAAAAGATAACACACAAGAATGGAGGAACCAACCTTAATCTTGACTCCAGAGCGAGGCATGAGGTAGACGAAAGCAGAGTAGCACAGAATTTAATGCTACAATCACTTAAAATTGTGTTTATGAAGAAATTTTAAGGTATGAGAAAACGCTTAAGTTTGAAGTTTACAGGAAAAGAACAGAATTCAAAATCACATATACAAAATTTTAAAAAATAACACCTAAAGCCAGTGTGTATATAGAAGAATAAGGACAAGCTTTCTGAAAAACAATTTGGCAATATCCATCAAGAATTTCAAATATGTTCTTCTTCTTCGACTAAATTACTCCATTGCTGTGAATTTAACCTAATGAAATAATCAGAGGAACACGCAAGTATTTATGCCCAAAGATATACAACACTACGCTATTTATAAAAGTAAAAATATTTTAAACAACCTAAATGCCTTAAAATGAAAATACAGCCATTTAATGGCATAGAATTCACAATATAATGCTGAATAAAAAAAGATTTTATATATACATAGGAAAAAGACTGGAAGAAAATATACCAAATGTTTACAGTAGTTACTCTGGGGGGCAGATTATGGGTAATTTTTATATTTCTCCTCATTTTCAATTTTTTGTGATGAGTATATAACACTTTTATAATCAGAAAAATATTATTTTCATCATATTTTTGAAGATTATGTGATATTATAAGAAAATGTTCAAAAAAGAATAAGTAGAAAACAGGATAAAAAACTGCATATATACTATAATTCTCATCTTTCATAAATTCTATATTTATTAGCTTTTTTAGAGTGAACATGAATTTTTATAATCAGAAAAATTAGACTTTAATCTTGACTCTGTCAAGGAAATGCACAGACAGCACTTCAAGCGTCCTGTTTATGCCATCTTCCCGGAGATCTGTACTCACGAAAAGAATGAGGAAGACCTACATGGATGGAGAATGACCTGCACGGAGGGAGAACACATGCTGCAGCAGGTTACGTAGGGTGTGACGCTGTTTTTGTTTTTAGAAATTATGTATTTATATACCTGCATATACATAGAAAATACTTATAAGAAATATGTTAAACATGCACTTTGGACTCTAAATATTGGTGATACAAATTGAAGAATATGGGATTGAAGAGCTAGTAAAATCCTCTGACTTCACTTTTAATTTTATATATTTACGTATGATCTGAACTTTTCATTATGAGCATTATAATTTAAAGAACAAATACAAAATTTTTAATTAACAGACTATTTTTTAGAGAAGTTTTAGGTTTACACAAAAATTGAGCAGAAAGTACAGAGTTTCTATATAATACACAATTTTTTAAAAGCCCAAACCACCACAATGTATTTACTAGACAAAAACACTGCCAACAGTGTTTGATTGATTGTCTCAAAAATGGAGATTAACGGGCGGGGGGGGGGGGCGCTCCACGCTGCCCCCCACCATGAGGTGGAGTGTATTTCCCCTCTTGAATGTGGGCTGGCATTATGACTTGCTTTGACCAAGCAATTGTGACCAGATCGATATACCTATTATAATTTTGGCATAATGATGCTTACACCTATGAGCAACAGTTATGCTTAACACTTTTATGTATTTACCATAATTTGTGGTGGAGCATGCATTGCCTTTTTATTTAAAAATAAATAATTACAAAAGGAATACAGACTTGTTATTTAAAAAAATTTTTTTTAAGTTTAAAAAGGAGACAGCAAAAGTCCCTCTTCCACCATCCAGAACCACACTTCAGAGTTTATCGCTCTTATGGGTTTTGCTTTTATTATCAAGAAACACAAACTGGCTAATTAAAGAGGAACAAAGTACAGCACAGATGAGAGTGAGAAGAATCTCCCCAGCCTACAGAAGTCCCTGTGTTGGGAGACAATGCCCCACGGCCTCTCGCATCCTGCACATCTTGCGAGCAGAAGGCATGTCTTTTTCCCAGACGTGTTTTCAAGGATGTTTGTATGGCACATAGCGTTGGAAGGGAGACAGCAAAGCACAGACATGCTTACTACCCATTAGAAAAGACTTGGGTTCCTCTCCTGTGACGCAACCCACTGCATGTGGGATGTCATCTGACCCTCTTCACGTCCCCCTCCAGGAAACTGAGGCTTGGGGAACCAATGCCAAGTGATAATACTCTGGTTACTGCCGTTTCCTGCCTCTGACCCAGGAGCCACGCATCGTCTGCCAGCACCCATGAAACGGGGGTCACTAACTTGTTCGCCTGTGGACCCTTCACAGTTCTTGACGCTTATTTTTGTGAACACATTTCTTTAAGCCATTTTTTAACTACAAAATGTGTTGGTTTTTCTCACGTCCACCACTCAAACCACTGGCCTATCAACCAGCTGCTCCTGAGCACCTACTTATGCCCTGCCCCGAAGTTTGTCCACTTACTACTGAGAGAGACAACTGCCCCTGTCCTCATCAGCCCCCCAAATATACACACCTGTTGTTTCCCTTCTGAGGAAAACAAAACCTTGCTCTCTGCAAAGAGCATGGTGTCTTCAGGGAGAAAATAAGTGAGGCCGGTTCTAAGAGAGTGAACCATCGAGCATCTGCAAAATGCCACGGCGAAAGCTTCTCTGGCGAAAGCCTCCACAGGAGAGGGAACAGGAATGGGACAATGCTCTGGCACTCCCAGATCATGGGGACTTGGAAGTGCTCCCGCCGCCCCTCCCCAAGCATAGGAACGGAAATGCTGATGTCCATTCGGTTAATCCAGAAAAGGAAAGTCAACCTGCGCCACAGGCTGCAGACGGCACAGCTGTAAATGGTTTCCAGGTTTACTGGCAGGCAGGTTAAAGCAGAGCCCTGGGGATTTGTCCTGTGTCTCATCTTCCATCTGGAAATAAAGCTGGCATGATTTACAGAATACTGCTCCTAGAGATCAAGGAAATGGCCTTAGGCTACAGTGTGAGGATGGTTGGCTAGGAAAAAAAAATTATTGACAGGGACAGTGTGGGGATCAGAATTGGACACCTCAAAATATGTCTCTTTACCTTGATTATTTTCTCTAAAAGAAACTTTGACCTCCCCCACCCCTCCCCCCACTAAGGGCCTAAAAGAATTTAACTCTGGTTATGGATAGACTGGGAGGGTCATTGCTAAGCCCATTCCAAGTAAAACTAGAAGTTATCCTTTGTAAGAGACACTTAGATTTATAAGGGAAATCTCCGTTTGTAAAGGTATCTCCCTCTCTGTACCTGGAAGAAGGGAAGATGACCTCATCTCTAGAAACTTGTCAATGCAGAAGGCGAGGCCTTAAATCTGCATAATCTTGTTCACTGTGCATTTCTGGTAATCTCCCATAGCTGACCCCCCCCAACATCCTCCTTTGTCTTTACCTGGCTGAATATGTTATTTAAGAGGAGAATTGCTGCCATTTGTAGAGATACTCGGTTTCCCTGGGTCTCTCCAAGTATACATATTATAAAGCTTTGATTTTTCTCCTGCTATTCAGTCTCATGTCGATTTAATTTGTAGCCCAGCCAGAAAGGACCCAGAGTGGGTAAAGGATAGTCTTCCCCCTCTTCAATAGTAAGCCTGGACATACTGCTTCAAGGTCCCTGAATTTCTGTCCGTTTTTACAGTCTTTTCTCATGGGCAGGGATGAAAACCATTTGAAGGGTCAGGCATAAAGTGACCTCTCTGAGTGCTGTGAAAGGAAGAAATGTGAAAGAGAAGAACATACGGGAACTTACCCAATGGTTGGGCTGATGTTGTGGTCAAAGTGGTCCTGGACAAACCGACACACAATGCTTGATTTCCCAACCCCAGTGTCCTGGAAAAGAAGAGGACACAGCCATGAAGGTCAAGGGTGCCAATTCCGACCCAGTGTAAACACAGAACCAGAGGGCAGGAGAGGTTATTTCTGATCGATAGGAGTGGGGGAGGAGGAGCGGGGATATTTTCTTCTATTTCTTACCAGTATTTTCTGAAATGAAATTGTATTGCTTTCATAGAAAGAAAAGAAATATGGTAAAAATAAGTTTTGGAAACACGCCCCATATATACAGTAATTAACTTAGAATTGGCAATGTTCACAATACATGTATTTCCAGAAATCTGGAAATTTTTAGAGGGGTCTAAAGGAGCTGTATGGCAACCCACGGCATTGTTTTGGTAGAGACAAAATTGACTTGGTTCAAAACCTTAGCACTCAAAAACTACGTAATCTGTTTTTCTAGGTATCACTCTGTAAGACCTATGAATTCTAACTTCTGCATTTCTAACATTTTCTCTTTAGAATCTGATGGCTGCATAATAACTTCCAGTTTTGCTTAATCGTATAAAGGTCTCATCTCAGCTCTTTCTCTGTTAAATACTTCTCTAAAGCTGATTAGGATAGAGGTCCACTTATACACTGGAAATTTATATACATGCATTTCTATCCACTCCCTTCCAAAACCCTTGCAAAATAGTTTAAGGAATAAAATATACAAATTCACAAGGTCAAAGAGATAGAAGACAAAACAATACCAGACAAGTGATATCAACGAAAAGCACCTGGCTGAGTGGTCACTGAGAGAGAAGCTGGAGCCTTAAGTGCCTGCAGGAAGGAAAGCCAACGAGAAGCAACTCAATTCATGCCACAGAACCCCTGAACACATCAAGAACTGTAGGACAAGGCTGAACACAGGATCAACTGAAAGGCTCACACAAACATACCCTTGGCACCCCAGGCCACATAACCAGAGGACACCCTCCTGCATTCCAGGAGGACATGGGAGGTTGACTCTCCAGGAAACCTGTATCAGACAGGGGCTGGGCTGAGGGACTTGAGCTCAGGGAGCGCCCAGTGCTATTCCCTGCCCTGTGCAAGCCCAGACAGAAGAAGTCAGACTCCACGCTGGGTAAGAGAGAAAACTCTGCAGATCCTAAGACTTGGAGTCTCCCAACTCAAGGCCATGTGCACAGTCAGCAAGCCCCAGTGCACACAGAGCTTTCGGAATGCATTTTAATCTCTTAAAAGTAAACATTCGGCTAAAAACTACCAGACATTTATACCCACAAAAAAAGAGCAGGCTGCTATTTTAAAAGATCATTCAGAGAGTAAGACCGACCTCTTAGAAATTAAAACTATGATGGTAGAAGTGGAAACTTCAAAGGAAGAGTAACTAGATAAAGGCGAGAGACTGCCCAGAAAGCAGAACAAAGCAGTTGCTCTTCTGAGGGGATGACAAGGCAAGAAGATGCACGGCTCACAGACTGTCACCACAGAGAAGTCCTGTCAGTACGTGCTTATCTGAAAGGATCATGGAGACATTGAGATCTATAAGTGAAAGGGAAACAAGACATATTTAGCCCAGGAAGGAGAAAATAGTGATACGGTTCTCTCACATTACAGGTGTAACTTTAAAAGTCTGAAGATCAAGGAGAAAACTTTGAAACTCAGAGAAATGTGTTTTTCTTTAGACATGAAATTTGAAATACCAACTGGGAATCTGAATTATTTTGACTCTTTCTCGCTCCCATGTTGAGGGGACAGTTCCAGTGAACCTGGGGCAAGAGCAGCATTCTCCAGAATCATTCTCCAGGAGGTCTCCCATCCCGGGGAGAGCAGCCCTCACTGGTTCTGAGCCATAATAAAACCGCAGTCTGCAAATCGATGTGCAGAGTTCAAAGAGGTGACAACAGAATGAAAACATTAGCTCCGAAGATTCCCAATCAATGCCACTGCTATTTCTGTGCCGCACCTTCAGTGTGCATTCCGGCTGACGTCCCCACAGTCCCCCAAACCAGAATTCAGTTCTCTTCATCTCAGCTGCTATAAAACCCTCTGTGGACAAGCAGATCCTTGCCATTCTTTAGTCCACACAACCCCAGAGAAGCTGAACACTGAGGCACCGTGCTGCCCTATCCTACCCTGGAAGATAAGGAGAATGTACTCTTTCATAAGGTGAACTGTTTTCTGCAAACTGCCCAGTAGGCAGGGTGGGAACTTCTCCCCAACACTGACCACACCAATTTTTATTTTTATGTCACCAAGCTCGTGGGATGCAACCCCACCCCTTCCTGTAGAGAGCTTTCAAATTTACCGTTCTATGAGAAATGCTAAATGATTAATCTCCGCCCTCTCTGCACCCATTGAAGTCACTCCCGTAACGGGAAGGCAGGTTAACAAAAGAGCCTGTCTCCTCCCTCTCTGGGCCTCTCCATTCAGTTTAGAGTTCTCTTTCTCAGGGTTCTTTAATTGTCCCTTCTTCACTGGTCCAGCAAGCAGTCATCAAACCCTACTGTGCCGGCACAGAAGAGCCTGACTGATGGGAGATAACACGGCCCCTCCCCAGCCTCCTGGAGTTCCACAACCGTGACAAGGGCCTGACAGAGCTAAGTGCCAGCACTCAGGCGGGCAGGGCTGCTCTGCCTCTGGCTGACGCACCACTCAGAGGTCAGGAGACAAATCCTTACCGTCCAAGTTTTGTTCCTTTTTGGCCTTCCTTGGTGTCCTTTCGGCTTACATCCAGGCTGGCCCTACTTCCAAGCTGAGAAAAAGCCCCTCGGAGGGGCCCTGCCCCCATAAGCAACATGGCGCTCACTCCCTGTGAGTGGTCCTTGGGGCACAGGCCTCTGGCTAGACTGTGTGTCCTCACAGTCAGGGCTCTGCTCTGGGAAACACGTCTGGAGTCTATCCATTCACTCTACCCAAGGGTTCTGCTCGAAACAACTGGCTCCACATCCCCAAAACAGCCCAAGAGATCCTGCAAGGCTGACCCTCAAAATGTCCTTGAAGATAAAAAAATTCAAAAGCCATCTGGAAATTATCCATCTCTACCAATCATCTTCCACAGATAACTCAAGCTAAACACCAGCTTTTCTGAAGAGTTAAAGCAGAAGCCTGCTCAAATGGAGATTTCAGAGTCAATTCTTCAGCCAAATAAACTCAGTGTTTCTTTTCTTTTCACAATTTAACTCTCAACATTTCTCTCTCTCTTACACATCTGATACGAAAGAACAAAAGGATAGGCAAAGTTTTCCTTTGTCTCAGAAAAGAAAATATTCTTACAAAAAACTGCCTCAAATAATCTCCTCTGGCCAGTCTTCCAGACGGCTCAAGAAATGACCTCCGGGCCCTCCTTCTCTCCCAGGATGACTGCAGTTCCCCAGCTGGCCAGCAGGGGAAGGCCCTGCTCCAGGAGTGCCCAGGAGAGCCTGAGGCCAGGATACCGGCCGTGCTCATGAATCACTGGGCTTTGTGGTTCGCTTTTCCTGCAGGAGCCTCATCCAGACTGTGACACACACACACAAGAGGAAAACGCCAGTGAGTCAGGACAATCGCACAGGAAAACACAAAGGCTGAAAGCAGACAGAGAAGAAAGCCGACTGGGTGGATAACAGAGTCTGTGAAGGAAGAGAAAGGAGGAGGGAGGAGGATCGTGGCTGCCCGCCATTCTTCAGAGGCCACGTTATTTTTGGTGGACTTACACCCACGGAAGGAGACTCGTCTATGCATATATTTTTCCACTTCATAAGATTATGACAATATCATAGCCCATCTTGTCCAATCTCCTAGTTTTGCAAAAGAGGAAGCTGCATGACTTCCTCAAGGTCCACAGCTGGCTACAGAGTCAGAACCAAATTTTCTGCGTCCCAGTGAAATCCTCTCAAGGCTTCACCAGGTTAAATCAACCTCCTTGCCACACGCCGACTTCTTCCCCAAAAAAGTCCATTTTCTAGAACTCACAAGGAGTCTTTTTATTACTGCTTTCCAGTTTTACCTTCCACAGTAGCATAGTGTCCTCAAGACAGATCTACTGGATTTTTGCTGGTAATGAAAGGGGGACATACTACCAACTACTGGGAGGCATTAGAATAAAACCAACTGGGATTCCACCAACCAGGAATAAAGTTTAGGAAAATTCTCCCTGGGAGATAACCAACATCACATTGTATTCTCATCTGAATGGTTGATACCAGATATGTGCTGAGGCCTTGAAACTGGTTCCATCTACTTACTGGGAAATGGGCCCCTCATATGATATTCCTCTCATGTATGTTATTATTTGGGGGTAATAATACAGTTCTCTAAGAACAACCACTTACTCTGCTGTTTGAACTGTCTGTCACATCTATTAATCACCTATAAATCTATAATTATGAAATCATCAATCACAAACTTTCAGCTGCTGCCACGTAAAACTCTAGGCGTCACTTGATTCACTCCTGGACTGTTGCAATGGACTGCAAGTAGGGGTTCCTACCTTTCAATTAAAGAATGGTAAATCCTAGGCAAATATATCACCACTACCTAAACCTGCTGTAATGGAAGACATCACTAATCCATTTGGGACATTTGGGACGCGTTATTTTATTGAACCTGAAAAGGGCCTCAAAATCTTTTCAACCCAGCTCTGCAGAGAATCACTGTGACTTGATTGAGGTGGGTTCCCAGAACAAAGGGCTGTCCTCTCCCATTGCCCCACACTTCCCAATAGTCAACACACTCCTACCAACTCCTCCACTCCAAACGCACTAACAGCTGCTCTGCAGGCCTTTTAGACATCTTTACCGGTGGGAAGGTCTTTGGGGGAAACTAATAAACAATACACATTGTTGATAACATTATAAATCAACATGCACACATTGTTGATAACATTATAAATCAACATGCTTCTTATGGAAAGGAAGTTACAAACTATAACAAGACCCACAGACTCAAGAATTCCATTCCTAAGAATATAGTTAAAAGAAGAAAAAAATGAGCACGAAAAGTTCATTGACGTATTATTTATAAAAATTAGAAATGGCCTAAAAAATAACTATAAATTAAATAAATTATGG